TTTCATCCCCTTGGGTCCGTGCGAGGATGAAGAAGAGTTTACCGCTTCTCTCCGGAACATGGAAGATAATGGAATAGCTATGTTCGCGGTGTATGACAAAACCAAGGAGAAAGAGGAGGCATACGCTGGACTCATCGGCTATTTAAACTCGTCAGCCCAAGATCTAGTCACGGAAATCTTCGTGATCATCGCTCCGGCATTCCAGAGGACGCATGTAACATCGAACGCGATCGGGATCCTCTTGAAATACGCGCTTGACCTTGGTGGCCTTGGCTTGCGGAGAGTGGTTTGGCAGGCCAGTGCAGCCAATGCTGCCAGTATCAGGACAGCGGAGAGGATGGGGTTCCGGCGGGAGGGGGTTCTGAGGTGGCATAAAGTGTGGCCTGAGTCCAAGTCCCGTGGTGCGAATGGGACTCGTGTGAGAAAGGGAGATCCTAGGGAGGAAATATTTCCGTTGGGACGGGATACGGTGGTTTTGAGTATTTGTTGGGATGATTGGGAAGGTGGGGTACGAGCTCATGTTGAGACGACGATGGCGCGAACGGAATAAATAGCCTGGGCTAGTCCTGCTGGTACCACTTCGAGCTCGAAATGAGGAAATGGGCACATAAACAATGTGTAGATTATTTAGTAGTATCCAGTGCCGTCCGCAAGTTGTTTGTGCCTCCGGAGATGCAATATTATGGTTCGGTAGGTCGATGTCGTCTCCGGGAAAATGCCCGGCATCTTCTCGGCAACCTGACCTTATTTAAATAAATAAACGCGAAAATGTACGTCATGTGTATAATTTTAATTATTTCCGCCACTCCCTTGCCACAATCATCACGAAGAAACCGGGTGCTTCACATCACGCTTGCCGTCAGGCTCTATATCACGAAAAGTTTTTTACAATGATACATTCATACACCATTCCTGCATGCACGTCCTAAAGTTTTATTTCGCTGACATGGGGCGTCAGGAGTCCAACTATCACGACAATCCACAAACGTGTTCACTCGTGGACACCCTTATACTTCCAGACACTCAATCAGAAACGTGGATGCGAGTTCGGGATTCTACCAGAAATATCCGGCCAGGACCGTCTAGTTGAAAACACATTGCCAACCATGAGAACCACTTTCTCTGATAGCTATCTGGATTCATGACTATCCCCAGTCTACGCCCATCTATCGATCAACGCCAGGTGCGATTTGTGTTCCAAGTTCGATGGTTTGTAGACGACTAACATTCCTTCTGGCAAAACAGAGTCGAATTTAACTGTTGTGGCTCCAAGTCGATGGGCGCGTAGCTTCTAAAGTTTCTCGGATCCTGGGCTGAATTTACAATGCGTAAACTGCACTGGGAGAATGGCTGTTGTATACCGTCAATCCGTTACGAGCAAGTTTTCTCCTAGTCATCAGTCAATCCTTCACAGGGTTAGAATTCAGCAGCGATATCTACACAATGCCATACGGCCGAGGTACGTCTTGCGATTGGTTCCGACTCTTTAATTCTTATTTTTTGATAACAGGAACCAACGAAAGCGCTCCTGAAGGCAACTGCAGATCCTAAGATACCGATCCGAGTATACCCAAGCTTAGCGACATAAAACATTGTTTCCCCACGTCAGTGGTGTTACTCCCGCTACGCTGTGCCGTCCCGTCGTTCGACCCGAGTTGTTCATATGTGATTCACTGCTCATTTTTGCGCCACGATTGGGCTTTGGTTCCTGAATAAGTACGTCTTCGCATTCTTCTGCCATACATCTTCATAAGGGTTATCAAGATCGCCAGTTTGTATGAAAAAATGGGTGCTCCAAGCTGATATTAAGAGAAGCCGGTCTAAGGATCGTCTTGCCGTCCCATAGCATACCGCAAAAGGCGAGGACGTGCGCGCTGATTCACCTTCGTCTCGTATCATTTCAGAATAAAACACTCACACACCCTATGACTATGAAGACCTCGCAACGAGATTACGAGCGACCATTCACGTCGAACGAATCCTGAACCGTGATGTTACCCGAGGAAAACCGAATTCTTACTCATTCAAAACCGGACACCATGACCCCGAAAAAAGCACTGGTATTGGTATTCCACAGGTATAACACGCTCGTAAACACTAATACTGTGTACCTAAGGGAACGGAAAGGTCTTAGTCGACAAAGACGTGGACGATCTCTAGTATCACAATTCTCAGCACGAAAATGACGAAACCATGGAACAGTTAGTCTTACCTCGATCCAACTAATGCAATGTTGCTCCGACTCTCCGCGTCCTTCACACATTTACTCGCTAGAAATCAAGCAATTAGTCTCAGCACAGTGACAACCAGGTAATCAACTCACAGGAGCGACAAAGTGATGTCACCGTTGACCTTGGCCTGAATGGCGATCTCGACTTCGAGGTTAAGGTCAAGGCGCAACTTCAAAGCTGCGGGGGGTGCGACAGCCTGGCGCTCAGAGCGACCGACGACTTGTCCACCGAGGACGGAGGAAGTTTGGGTAGGTGCGTACTGGGTTTGTGGGTTAGACATGGTGATGCTGAAGAAAGAAACTCATCCAGGTTCTCCTTTTATATGAATAGCGCGGCCAGAGTCACGTTGTCATTGCATCGTTGCACAGTACCTTCGGGGAATTTCACGTGGAAGAGTACGGAGGCTTTCTCGACTCGTGTCACCGGTACCAATACCGTCGCTGTTCGAATAATAAACATGCTCTCAAAGCTAGCTGATTCGATGCGTAAACGGGGGGCTGGATCCATATTCCCATAGCAAGTTTCTGATTAATCATGTGAGGACCCAACGTGCTTTCTCTTACCACCCCCATCAGACTTCCTTTCCCTCAAAGACACAAAACACGCTCCAGAAGAGTCGGGTTGAACGCCACAACCGTTCGTCGCTCTAGCCCGAATACCATCACGTGCTTTCCCGCGGAACTCAGGAATACAGAAGCTCGCCGCTGAGGACTTTGATGGCGAGAAGTCCGTGTTGCTCATCAGAAGAACGCAAATCCCCTTGAAATTTGCACGCAGCACGTTCCTATGAAACAAATATACCTTTACGTTCGTAGATTTTTCTTCCTCTAATTTAACACCTAGGTTGCGACGAGGCACCCGAGTTGCTAAAGACACCATGGCGCAATCATAACGTTGCCCTCGCCCCGGTCCCGCTCATATTCATATAAAAGGAGAGCCTGGACGGATTTCTTTCTTCAGCATCACAATGTCTGCCCCACAAACCCAATACGCACCTACTCAATCTTCCTCCGTCCTCGGTGGACAAATCGTCGGCCGCTCTGAGCGCCAGGCTGCGCCTCCCGCGGCTGTGAAGCTGCGTCTTGACCTTAACCTCGAGGTCGAGATCGCCATCCAGGCCAAGGTCAACGGTGACATCACCTTGTCGCTCCTGTAAGTGTATTGCTTATTTCTACGCGTCGTCGGACTGATTGTTTGGTTCACAGTGAGTAAATGCGCTATGCGGATGGGATTTGAGTCGGCGTGCAGTCTTCAATTCGAGGTGCGCTTTGTCCTTCGGCGTACTGTGGGATTTCTGCTGATGCTTTTCTACACAAAGTCGTATCGTTCTCCCCTTTGATCTTGGTTTACGATGTAGTTAGTACTTAGCGGTGTTTCTATGCCCATAGATATCAATGTCATTGTTATTCTGGGATCATAATGAAGGTTTTACGACTCATACATCTAGTCTTCAGCTGATTTCCGAGACGTCCTAAATTTCGGCGTGAAGGGAATAGATCCTTGACTAGAACCATCGTGGATGTCGACTCACAATGGATATCTTGGGTGTTTTGTAAACACTACCGAGCCTAGAGCATCTCCAGTTTTATGACGAGAAGCTGAGCGGGAATCTGTAGAAGTACGGCACGTACAGGTGGAGGAGATGAGAGGGCAGCACCAGAAAGCTTCAACCTCTAGAATGTTGAATTAGCATCTATGCGGGTAATTTTGTATGAGTGCATAAGTAGCAAAACTCCTCAGAGACAAGCCCTAGTGCTTATATCTTGAAAAACGAGAACAACAAGAGGACAATCAGCACCGAGTTTTAATGCGATTAAATTGAGTTATCTATTCTTATCCGTCGGTGGGAATAAGGCAACGGAGATATGACGATCCCATTTCAACGAAATCAGATTTACATGCACCCCGTTATCGATTCTAGCCACCGTCTTCCTCATCGTCAAAATTCCCTTGTAAGCAATGTCCGACAACAATCGAAGTCAGTTATCAAATATTCGTCTTGCCAGTGCGTTTTCTTTTGAGGCTAGATAATGCGCTGGTATTCTAACTTCTGCCAGTGAGGCATCGAGCAGATCCGGGTTGGATGAAAGAGTTCCAAGAAATTAAGTGCATCGGAATAACAGCCTATGCTAGGGTTCGTCTCTCGGTGCTCTACCAGCTGACTGACTTCCTAACTTTTCGTGCAGTCGGAAAATCTATGCTGCGACGATGGCAGCTCCAGGCCCTTCAAAGTCGTACCTTTCCATTACCTAGCTGAGGACCCAGAGAACCGGAGGGTAAGAAAGTCACGGCCTTCATCGAGGCATATCAAACTTAGAAATACAGATCACTCTACTACCGGAGCTGCGTACACGCCAAGATATACGAAACCTCGATGATGACCAGTTGAACAGTTATCTCGCTGGATACAGACTGGGACACTTGTGCCGCGCTTCGCGTAAGGCAAAGCTTATAGGTCTATGCAAACACATTGGATGCAGGCCGGCAGTCTGCGAGTAGATGCCCGGATCAAAGAGAGATGTTTAGTTTTGTTCACTTTCCTCATACTTACTATCGCGCTCGCTGAGGCTCGTAAGTAATAATATGTTGTGCCTACATATTCAAATGAAGATAAGGGTTTCTGGCCTCGGCCCTCGGGAGACAGAATGACCCTGGTGTAAGACTGAGTATAATGTAACATCCTTACTAAAAGAGGACGTGTCACTTGGAAAAGATGGAAATACTTCAGTTACTAGTAACTGAGCAAAAAGAATGGATAATAAAGCGACATGAGTCGGCCCAGGTTCGAACTGAGGACCTTCTGTGCGCAAAGTGTTAGACAGATGCGATAACCAGCTACGCCACCGACCCCGCAAACAAGAGTCAGGGGACACGGGACCCGGGACCCAAGGGTCTCCACATACAAAGTACCATGAAGACAAGAAGTAGAGAGCCTCAGAGAGAGGGGGGGGAGCAGGTTTAACGAGGCTGACACGCGCAGATGCCCTTCCGTAAATGCCTGATTTGAGCGTATCCATGATTCGAATGTAGCTGTCAGCGTGTTGAGGAGGAGGAATTCCCGCCCGATTGAGGTTGATTTGTCAGTCAAACAGCAAGAGACGAAGATGGTGGAGGATGCTGTTCGAAAACGGACTAGTAAACACCATATACTTCATAAGTTGGCACAAGATCTCGTCAAAGCCGCTACGAGTTTGATCGGATTCAGGCTTCGGGTCGGGTGGTCAAGGGCCTCTCAGACTGTAGAGAGGTATCATTGTTTGATTCAGAATCAGCGAACCAGAGATAGGCTATTACCTATGCACAACATCAATGAAGACGAGAGATCCTCCTCTCAGGATATGCGGGCCTCTCCCGTAGCTTGGACCAGCCATTGTGGTTACTCGTGGAGACGTATAATATAAGATCAATGAAAACTCTGAGTGTGTTGAAAAAATTCAGGTACATATCCAGTCCGATGCACTGAGAAGAACTCGTGGTATCTCTGATAGCGCCCAGAAAGATGAGGACGCCTCGGGAAAATTGAACTTCACGCTAATTATCAGCATTGGATCCGTGCGCCTACGAGCGCGTGTTGCCATGTCCTCGGTGTCAAAGAAGTTACGATTTCAAGACGAAATATAAATTCTGGCAAGAGCGGGTCCTTGGAGGGTGGATAGCTTTTTGCAGAGAAGATAAATGGCAGCAGTTATTGGACGGTTGTGGGATATTGTCTCCCGGAGCATGGCACGAAAGAGATCCACGTAACAAAGTCTGGGTCACTGTCTATCTGAATAAACTTTGAGTGAGACAAGCAGAAATCATGATGCCGAGAAGATTACTGACTAGCAAGAACGCACATCCCAATAACGCGACGAAGTCTGAACTCGTCACCGCGTTTCGTTTCCGCCACAGAAGTGGGGAAATAGACTGCCCATCCTGCTTGCAGGACACCTACATGCGTACAGAGATTGCTTCTCGGCACCAGACCCAACTGTCGGCGAGAACAATCTTTCCGTGGTCCGAGATAGATGCGGTATTGTGAGGAGAGATACGGAAGACTGTCGGAGCAGAGTTGTTGGATTGAACATCGTGATATCTAACAACAGGAAGATAGTAGGGGCGTCTGGACGACTGTTGAATACTTGCAGTCAAGAGACAAGGTCGAACTATTCACCAATACACCGTTGCTGCCGGCACTTCGCGACCTGCCCAATAAGCGTGATTTGACGGTGGTCTCCTGTTCAGTTCCTTTCAGTGTTGGGCACAGACAACGATTTCCTGAAGAAATACAAATGACAAGAAGGAATGATACAAAAAAGGAAGAATCAATAACAGCGAGTGGTGGAGAAAGCAAGAGAGCAGTGACCACGTGCAACCATTCTTGCCTTTTCCCTTCATGTCAATGTCATGTCGCCACTGTGGATTCATCGACGTCCATCCCACCGATCCACAGCCGCAGAATATCAAGACCTCCGACAGCCTCGTTTCACAAATTCTACGCGGGCAACGACCGTTACTTGACTCTGACCATACCCTGCTCAACGCCGACATCGTCGAGTTGGAACAGCAGCAATCCATGTATGCTGCTCAGCTCGAAGAAATTCAGTTGCGTCATTGTGCAGTACTGAAAGCCCTCGAAAGTCGCAAATCAATCTATGCTCCCGTTCATCGTCTTCCCCGCGATATTCTCATCGAAATCTTTCATTTGATTTGCGATTCTTGGTGGAAGGAAGAAGAGCGGGGCTTACAACACAGCCTAGACATATCCGGGCCTCTTTGGGTTTTGGGTCGCGTCTGTGGGTTTTGGAGGGATACATTGCACAGCTCGCCAGCGTCATGGGCTCGGAAGCTCGTCGTGCGAGCCTCTTTCTCCAAATATGCTCTGAAGTTATTGCATACCTATCTGGAGCACACGGGCGAACATCGTCTCAATCTGCAGATTTTCTGCAGCGATGCTGCAGGACTCGATGAAGAAATCCTGTCTCTGCTTGTTCAATCTTGTCAACGGTGGGAGAACCTGAGCATCCACGTTGCCAAGCTTCATATGCCCTTTTTCGAATCTATATCATCCCTTCCAGCACTGCAGACGATCGACATAGACATCTACAATGACTATGGCCTTGATTATCGCTCCGACATGTTCTTGAGTGCCCTACAGCTATGGCGAGCAAGTCTTCGCCGGCATGCGATCCATCAGATAAGGTTACTGTCTGGGATAACCCATTTTTCTGGGACTATCGCTTGTCCAGAAGATTTATGCCTTCTTTCCCGACTGTCGAAGCTTAGAAGGTGTCACCTTCGGATGATGCTGTCCACACAGGACGTGCCGGAGGTAACAGTGGCGCAGCTCACTCACCTCTATGTCGGTGGCGTGGATGATCTCAGTGTCCTATCTGCGCCTCTCCTCAGCAGCTTGACCATTGCCCCGGACGCATCCTTCCCACATAGATCGATCTCCCTTTTCTTCCATCGATCGAGATGTCATCTCGAGAGTTTGAGCATCGGCAAGGGGATGTTCCATTCATCCGCAGATAATAGTATCTTCGCACTGGAAGCGTGTTCTACCGTTTCTCGCCTCAAGCTCGAGCTTCCTCCATGGCTGATCTTCTGCGTTCTCGAGGCCCTCGCCTCTCCCTCTGTCCTACCGAACCTACGCCATCTTATCCTGTGTCTATCAGAGCGTTCAGAGGACCAGTGGGATGCCATACTCGACATGGTGCGCTCCCGCCGTGATACAGGAATGCTGAAATTGGTCGAGATACAATCTGAGGAAGAAGGGTTTGAGTATTTCTGGGAGGAGGATATGCGGGCCATCACTAGGGGCGACTTTGAGATGCGGGTCGCGAAGTGGGATCCACCACATCAAGACCATCGGTACCTGTTGGGCTTTTGAGATCAGGGCAGCCCCTGTGAGTTACTGACTTTTATTGTCGCGTGCTCTTCCGGCTGACCGTTCGCTTTCATAGCGACCATGCTATCAGACAGACGTACTGGAGCGACTAAGTTGTGGACTTCCAGTGAAGTTCGCCCTCATCAGAGCCTTACTTATAGAATGATTTTGTAGCACCTACCCTCCGTCGTGCCTACCGTTGCAACGTTATCGGCTAATACATAACAATACCCATGTCACTTTGGGTCTACCGAGATTGCTACAACCATCGGCTTGATGAGGCTCGGCGTCGTACGGGCGGGTCGACGTCGTCTCTTCGGGGGTGGCATAACCTGATCATTTCTCAGCAAAGGGCATCTCGGCCTTGCATCGGCGAAGTCACGATGACCTACGCCCACAGCAAATTGTGATCGGCGTCGTTAGGTGAAGACAAAGTATTCATGCGATAGTGCAGCGTGCTGGGAACGACGGACGCATCCATTTTTTCAATTGGCGCGCCCTCGAGTCTGCCCAGTGAGCAGGCGTGATTCGACGGTAGTCCCTTGTTCAGTCCCTTTCGGCGTTAGGCTCCGATAACGATTTCATGAAGGGAGAAAGATAAAAGAAATCTGACACAATAATTCAACAAAAGCGTGGGAATCAGCAGCAGCAACAATAAGTTGAAGGCAGGGTGCCAATAAGACCACGTACGACTCTTACCTTTACTCCTTCATCACGATGTCGCGCCTCACCTGCCGCGACTGTGAATCCGTCAACCTCCCTCCCCTCGAGCCACGCATCAAAAATATCCAGAGTCCTGATGGCCTCGTTTCGCAGATTCTACGCGGACAACGACCATTGCTCGACTCTGATCATGCGTTGCTCACCGCTGAAATTGTCGAGTTGGAACAGCAGCAATCCTTGTATGCTGCCCAGTTCAAAGAAATCCAGTCACGTCGACGTGCAGTCCGGAAAGCCCTCGAAAGTCGCAAATCAGTCTATGCTCCCATTCGTCGTCTCCCCCGGGAAATTCTCATCGAAATCTTCCATTCTGTTTGTGATTCTTGGTGGCAAGAGGAAAATAGATCTTGGAACCTCAGACTTTCTCCTCACAGCCTAGACTTATCCGGGCCTCTTTGGGTTTTGGGTCGCGTTTGTGGGCTTTGGAGGGATACCTTACACTCCTCGCCAGCGTCATGGGCTCGGAAGCTCGTCGTGCGGCAGCCTTTCTCCGAATACGATCTGGAAATACTGCAGACCTATCTCGAGCGCACCGGCGAGCACCTCCTCAATCTGCAGGTCATCTGTAGCCACTGGACAGAAGAGGAAGACATGGACGACATCCTGTCTCTGCTTGTTCAATCCTGCCGACGGTGGAAAAATCTGCACATCAGCGCTTTCAAGCAACACATGCGCCATCTGGAATCAATCTCGCAGCTTCCTGCCTTGCAGACGATTGACATGAATATTTTTGGTGACTATGATTGTTCTGGCATGTGCTTAACAGCCCCACAGCTGTGGAAAGCAAGTATTTGCGTGCACGGGAACCATCAGATAAAGTTACTGCCCGGGATAACTCATTTTTCTGGCTGTATCGCTTGTCCAGAAGATTTACGCCTTCTTTCCCAACTACCGAACCTCAGAAGGTGTAGCCTTTGGATGAAATTGGCCGCAAAGGAGGCGCCGGTGGTTACAGTGGCACACCTCACACACCTCCATGTTGATCACACGGATGTTCTCGATGTCCTATCTGCTCCTCTCCTCGGCACTCTGGCCATTCCGAGTCGCCTTATGACAACGCTGCAAGGACCTCGGTCATCCTTCGCACAAGAATCTCTCACCCGTTTCCTCCATCGATCGAAATGTCATCTCGACAGTTTGAGCCTCAGTGAGACCATGTTCACATTAAACACACCTAGTAGAATGTCTGCACTGGAAGCGTGTTCTACCATCTCTCGACTCAAACTCGAACTTCATTCACGAATGGACAGTGACATTGTCGAGGCTCTAACCTCCCCATCTGTTTTACCGAACCTACGCCACCTCATTCTGTGTATGTCGCTACCTTCAGGGGACGAGTGGACTACCATACTCCGCATGGCGCGCTCCCGCCGTGACGCAGGAATGCTGAAATTAGTTGAGGTGCAGTTTGAGCTAGATGAGTATGACTATCACCTAGCAGAGGACATGCGAGCTCTCACTGGGGACGACTTCGAGATGCGGGTCGCGAAGTGGGATCCGCCATGTCGGGACCCTTTGTCCCTGGAGCACCTATCTTGAGGTCAGGGCGATAGCTTTTCCTTTCTGTGAGTTAGTGGCTTTTGTCATCGTGCGTCCTTCCAGTTGACCATTTGCTTTCACAGTATGTAAACGTACTATGTCATCAGAGAAATAACAATAACATTTTGTCGCCCACGCATCGCGATCAGATTTTGTCCATCTTTAACCACAATCATCGGGATCCCAGTGTATAAAGGAACTCCAGTGGTCAGGAACTCGCTCTGAAGCGGCACGAGTACCAGGCTCATGATTGGCACATCATTTGACGGTCTTTTCCGAACTGTATCCGTTCGTCCTTCCAGTCCTAATTACAACGTATGCTCCTCCAATTGACAGCAATTTCCTCCAGCTGTGCATCACAACAGCGTACTTATTCGCCACCACCCTCAATTTTCCAGCCAAATTACGTATCACTAAACTTGATAGACTATGCGCTTTTTTGCTTCCCAAATCTAATGCACTATACCTCAGGAATATGGAAGCTCGCTGAGGACTTTGATGGCGAGAAGTCCGTGTTGCTCATCAGAAGAATGTAAATCCCCTCGAAATTTGCACGCAGCATGTTTCCATGAAGCAACCAAACCTTTACGTTCGTAGATTTTTCTTCCTCTAATTTAACACCCAGGTTGCGATAAGGCACCCGAGTTGCTAAAGACGCCATGGCGCAATCATAACGTTGCCCTTGCCCCGGTCCAACTCGTATTCGTATAAAAGGAAAGCCTGGACGGGTTTCTTTCTTCAGCATCATCATGTCTGCCCCACAAACCCAATACGCACCTACCCAATCTTCCTCTGTCCTCGGTGGACAAATTGTCGGCCGCTCTGAGCGCCAGGCTGTCGCACCTCCCGCAGCTTTGAAGCTGCGCCTTGACCTTAATCTCGAGGTCGAGATCGCCATCCAGGCAAAGGTCAACGGCGACATCACCTTGTCGCTCCTGTAAGTGGACTGCTCGTATTGGGCGTGTTGTTAGGCTGACCTTTGGTTCACAGAGAGTAAATGTACTGCGCGCGCGGAGAGTCGGAGGCAGAGTGCGTTAGTCAGATTGAGGTGAGATTTCCATCGTTCCACAGTTTCATTGTTGTGCTGAGGGCCGCCTATTATGCTGTAGGGCTCATTTGCGTCGAATACCTTCTCTCTATCCCCTCAGGTACCCGTGCTTGCACTATACCATTTTCGTACCTTACGAGATATCAATATCAGTGTCGTTTCGGGAACTCTTTTCAAGTCTTAAGTCTGCTTACTGAGTCTGCATCCGTCGCATTGCATTTTTCATTTTAGATTATCGGGACTCATGAGATGCATTGGTGTATGTGACGGTCGGGAATGGTCCCAGGGACACGCATTCTTATTCAAGTTGAACGTGCAGTAAAGGCGCCAGTCCTTCACCCCTTATCGATAGTGAGAAAAGTGGACGCGCATCGCGGGAGTCATGTATCCTCATGCTTTGACATGCTACTCAAAGGACTTAGAAGTTAGGATAAGGTAACCCGTTTAGCAAAAATAAGCTCCTACAGGGAGTCTCTGATTATCATGAGTCGGCCCAGGTTCGAACTGAGTACTATCAACATTATGTTAGATAGATGCGATAACCAGCTACCCCGCCGGCCCAACAGCTAGAGGCAGTGGAATTCGGCAGGCGGATGGGATATGGGCAAAGCAAAAGGAGTATTTAAAGCAATTGTGATAGAGGAAAGCGCTAATCTTATACTCATCAGCGCCGAAAGGAGCTGACATAGAAACCCGTAGCAAAAGGAAGGAGACAAGCGCAGGGTAAACGACTGTAACGGGATGGTGTTCGGAAATGGTCTGGGAAACGCCATCATTAACTTGAGTCCGAAGTTGTTAGAGCCGCCAATAATTCTTGTCGTATTCGTACTTCAGGTCTGTGCTCAAGGGAATTCAGACTGCAAAGAGATGCCGTCGTTAGATTGAGATTCAGGGAATCAGAGACAAGTTACTACTTACAATGTCGATGACGATGAGATATGTCTGGCTCTCAGGATACGCGGGTAAGCGTCTCCCAACAGCTTAGACTAACCATCGTGATCCCGTTGGTCCGTATAACACTGGTGTATCCTCTGTCCGAGCGGAGAGTGATGAAAGAATTTGCCTATATACCGAATTCGAGGCTCTGAAAAGACGTCGGGATATGTCTGATAACGCCCAGAAGAAACCGCCTTGGGAAAATGGAATTCCCAATCACTAGCACCGCACCCGTGCGCCCACGCGCGCATCTTCGGCATCAGAAGAGCACGGGACGATACGAATTGGAGAAAAAGCAGGAAGAATCTTTGGAGAAAGCCTGCCGCCGGAAAACTAGCGCAGGGAAGGGAATGGCGATAGCTATTGGACGTAGGATTTCTTCTACCGAGATAGTATGATCATTGATATCAAGGACCGAGGTCAGCGTAACGGTGTTGAGATCGGTGTCTATCCGAATGAACTTTGAGTATACGAGCAGAAAATGTCGAAAAGATTACTCACCAGCAAGAACGTACATCCAATCCGATTCACGCAACCAAGTCTAAATGTGGGAGACCTGGGCCTGACCGCCGAAGCGCTTCATATACAGGTACAAGCTCCTGCTCACAGGCGACCTACGCGCATACAGCGTACTGATTCTCGGCGTCAGACCCGGCTGTCTGCGAGATTAATCATTCGGTGGTCCAAGACGAGATATATGGCAGGAGAGAGACGATACAGGCGTGGAGACTTTCGGAGTAGAAGGAGACGGAAAATGGAGTGATGTTGGATTGCTAACGCCTTGATAGCGACAGGAAGAGAGTAGCGCGGCGGACCACAAGCATCTGGATGAATGTTGAATACAGTAGTCAAGAGACACGGAGTCACTGACCAATACACCATTGCTGACCAGCACGTCGCGACCCAAATACTGCCCACTGTAAACATTGCGTCGTGATTTGATGATCCTTGCGAATATTTGTTCAGTTCCTCTCCAGCTTTGGGCTCAGACCAGTACGATTTCACGAAGGAAGAATGATGAGGGAAATGTGAAAGAGTAACGCAAAAGAAGCGTGGAATCCAATAGTAGCGACAAGCAGATGAAGGCAGAGAGTGAGTAGGACCACGTGCAACTCTTGCCTTTACCCTTCATGTCGTGCTTCACCTGCCGCGACTGTGGATCCATCAACCTCCTTCTCCTCGAGACACGTTTCAAAACCATCCAGAGTTCCGATAGCCTCGTTTCGCAAATTCTACGCAGGCAACAACCATTGCTCGACGCTGACCAGACCTTGCTCACCGCTGAAATCGTCGAGCTGGAACAGCAGCAATCCTTGTATGCTGCTCAGCTTGAAGAAATCCAGCTGCGACAATGTGCAGCACTGAAAGCCATCGACAGTCGCAAATCAATCTCTGCTCCCATCCATCGTCTTCCCCGCGATATTCTCATTGAAATATTTCATTCTGTTTGTGATTCTTGGTGGCAGGAAAAAAGGTCGCTGCGCGAACACCACAGCCTAAACGTATCCGGGCCTCTTTGGGTTTTGGGTCGTGTCTGTGGGGCTTGGAGGGATACTTTGCACACCTCGCCAGCGTCCTGGGCTCGGAAGCTTGTCGTGCGGGGGCCTTTCTCCAAACACGCTCTGGAGATATTGCAGACGTATCTCGAGTACACAGGGGAACATCTTCTCAATCTGCAGGTCTCCTGCAGGGACTCGGTAGACGATGACATCCTGTCTCTACTTGTTCAGTCCTGCCAGCGGTGGAAGATCCTGCGCATCAATGTTGTCAAGTCTTGTATGCCCCATTTCGAATCCATCTCGCACTTTCCAGCCCTGCAGGCGATTGAGATATATGTCTATAATGCCCATGGCTCTGATGATCGGTCGGACATGTGCTTGGGTGCCCCGCAGCTATGGCATGCGCGTCTTCAAGGGCATGGGCTTCATCAGATAAGGCTACCCCCAGGGATAACCCAATTTTCTGGCTCTATCACTTGTCCGGAAGATTTACGCCTTCTTTCCCGACTACGGAACCTCAGAAGGTGTCACCTTTGGATGTCATCGGCCATAGTCACAACGGAGGCGTTTCCGGTGGTTACAGTGGCGCAGCTCACTCACCTCTATGTTGATGGCGTGGATATTCTCAATTTCTTATCTGCACCTCTCCTCGGCAGTTTGACCATTAACCCTTTATCGCAAAGACCTCAGTCATCCTCCGCACAAGAATCTATCACCCGTTTTTTCCATCGATCGAGATGTCATCTCGAGAGTTTGAGCATCGGTAAGGAGGTTTTCACATTAGACACACCGACCAGAATGTTCGCATCGGAAGCGTGTTCTACCATTTCTCGCCTTAAACTCGAACTTCATCCAGGAATGATCAAAGGCATTGCCAGAGCTCTCACCTCCCTATCTGCCCTACCGAGCCTACACCATCTCATTCTGTGTCTATTCAAGCCTTCAGGGGGCGAGTACGTCACCCTACTCCCTTTGGTGCACTCCCGCAGTCATGCAGGATTGCTGAAATTGGTTGAGGTACAATATATGCAGGAAAGACATGATTGTTCCCTGGCAAAGGTCATCCGAGCTCTCACTGGGGACAGCGATTTGGAGATGCGGGTCGGGAAATGGGATCCGCCAGGTCAGGATGTTTACCTGTGGCACCTGCCTTGAGGTCAAGGCGATAGTTTTTCCCTCCCGTGAGTTGCTGGCTTTCATCATCGTGTGTCCTTCCAGTTGACCAATTGCTTTCATAGTATGTGCCAAATGTACCATGTTATCGGAGAAATAACAATATCAGTATTATTTTGGGGTCAGATTTTATTGCTCTTATACCCTAATAATTCGGGATCGCAGCGTGGAACGTAACCCGCATGGTCAGGAATTCGGTCTGAAGCAGCACGATCAAGTAAGCGTAAGCACATGATTGGGACATTATTCGATGGGGTTTTTCGAACTGCATCGGTTAAGGCTATTTATCGGCGTCCAACAAGCGGGCGCTGTGCAATGAAAACGTGAGGTGGGTTGCCGGGAGGAAGAACGAGGGCCTCACTAAAGGGGTCCAACGCTTATTGGCTTGGACTCCCGAGATGCAAAGAAATACAGTATAAATTACTATAGTGGCTGGGCGGGTCGTCGCCGTCTTTTCGGGGTGGGCATGACTTGATCTCTTCTCAGCAAAGGGTATCCCGGCCTTGCATCGGCGAAGTCACAGTCTCAATTCTTTGACCTCCGCCCACTGCATTGTGACCGGCGTCGTCTGGTGAAGACAGTACTCGTGCGATGGAAGCCGGGAACAGTGTTCTGGCGCAACCCATTTTTTATTGACACCCTTGAGCCTGGAAGAATCCACGTCGATGTTTGCGTACCTCGTTTACGCTCTCACGCTCTGCGCATGGTAACTTGTCAGTCCTCATGTTTGAGCTTCTCCATCCATTCATCCTTATGTCCTCTGAGAGGGCAGTGGTCCCTCATCGTGTCTTCGAATTACGTATCATTATAAGGACTACGCGCTTCTTTGCTTCCCAACTCCTACCTCAGGAATATAGAAGCTCGCTGAAGACCTTGATGGCGAGCAATCCGTGTTCCTCATCAGAAGAACGCAAATCCCCTCGAAATTTGCATGCAGCACGTTTCTACGAAACAAATCAAGCTTTACGTTCATAGTTCTCTCTTCTTCTAATTTAACGCCTCGATGCAACGAGGCACCCGAATTGCTAGATACACCATGGCGCAATCATAACGTTGCCCTTGCCCTGGTCCAACATGTATTCGTATAAAAGGAGAACCTGGATGGATTTCTTTCTTCAGCATCGTCATGTCTGCCCCACAAACCCAATACGCACCTACCCAGTCTTCCTCCGTCCTCGGTGGACAAATCGTCGGCCGCTCTGAGCGCCAGGCTGTCGCACCTCCCGCAGCTTTGAAGTTGCGCCTCGACCTCAACCTCGAAGTCGAGATCGCCATCCAGGCGAAGGTCAACGGTGACATCACCTTGTCCCTCCTGTAAGTGTATTGATCATTTCGACGCGTCGTCGGGCTGATTGTTTGATTTACAGCGAGTAAATATGCTGCTCGCATAGGAAGGTGTAGTCGGCGTACAGTCGTCTGATCGAGGTGGGATTTGTCTTTAGGCGCACTCGTCGGTTTCATGCTGAGACTTATTAGGGCACCGCCGTGGACCGGTTACATTCTTCCCGTCGTCCTTGGTTAGCAGTGTATTAGTGTCTCTACCTATTAAATACGAATATCAGTGTTATTCTGGGATGATCACGCAATGAAGTTTTCACAACACACGCACTTGATTTTCACGTTGAAAGCGTGCCTTAAATCTCGCTGCAAAGAGGAGAAGCTCATCGTTGAGGATGTCGACGCAGATACAATGGGTAATTTGACGTTTTTGTCGTGAAGACCGACTGTTATTACTGAGCCCAAAGCTTTTCCAGTTCTATGCCAAGTTTGAGCGAGAATATGGAAGGAACGGATGTCCAGAATACTCTTGCGTTATCACACTAGAAGTACTGCATTGCTAGATTAGAGTAGATGGGCTGAGAAAGATGTTCTTCGTACCGCTTTCAGCATACGTGGGCAAGCATGTCCACACAGCTTGGACTGACCATCGACATTACTCGTTCAACACATGAC